CTCATTACATAGGTGTGAATTGGGTGTTACAAAGTAGAATTCTAAACTTTTGCCATATGCCTCCTCCAAACTCAAGGGTGCTTTTGGCAGAAACATTCTTTGGTTTCTTAAAAGAATGGGAAATTGAAAGGAAGATTTTCTCTCTTACTTTGGACAATGTGAGTAATAATGACAAGATAGAAGATATTTTAGAGAGGCAACTTTGTGTGCAAAATGCATTGTTATGTAATGGTGATTTCTTCCATGTGCGATGTTTTGCACATATCTTAAATCTTATTGTTCAAGAAGGGTTAAAAATTGCTAGTGTGGCTTTTCATAAGATTCGAGAAAGTGTGAAATATATTAAAGCAAGTGAGAGTAAAAGAATCAAGTTTGGAGAACTTGCTATTCAAATTGGTGTGAAAAGCTCAATGGGATTGCGAATGGATGTTCCCACTAGATGGAATTCTACTTTTTTAATGCTTGAAACTGCGTTAATATATTGATATGTGTTTGTACATTTGTCTTTGGTAGATCCCAATTATAAAGATTATCCATCAAATGAAGAATGGGATAAGGGGGAGAGGATATGCAAATTCTTGCAACCATTTTATGGGATTACAACTCTTTTTTCGGGTTCCAAATACCCCACAACAAACTTGTACTTTAAAAATGTGTGGGAAATCCAATTTCTAGTGAATGAAGGGATGGTGACTGGTGAGTGAGGATGAAGTTCTTAGTAGCATGGCAAATCAAATGATCCCAAAATTTGCAAAATATTGGGATTCTTATAGTGATGAGTTAACTATTGCAACTTCTTGACCCACGTTTAAAGATTCAGTTTGTGGAGTATGCTTACAAGAAAGTTTATGACTTACCTACTACCTAAAGAAAAATGGAGGTTGTTAAGAAGAACTTGTATAAACTTTTTAAAGCTTACAAGGCACAAAGTCCCAAAGAAGTTCTCAGCGCCACCTCTTCAGATGCTTTTCCTGCGAGTGGCTCTCCTCTTATTATATGTTAAGATTATATTTGTGTAAGTCACTATATTTTTTTATATTTTTGTGATAATAAAGTATTGTTTATTGTGTAATTTTAACTTTTAATACTTAACTATTTAAATGGTGCAGGATTTTGACAACTATGAGAGTGACTTTAGTGCTACTAGGAAGTCTGAATTGGATCTTTATTTAGAAGAGCCAAGGTTTGATTGCATCAAACATCATAATATGGATATCCTCAAACATTGGAAAAGCAATTGTGATCGTTATCCAACACTTGCGTGATGGCATGTGACATCATGAGTATACCAATAACATCTGTTACTTTAGAGTCCGCTTTTAGTATTGGCAACAAAGTGCTCAATAAATACTCAAGCTCACTTAAACCAGATAATGCACAATCTTTGTTATGCACTCGGACTTGGCTATATGGATATGAATTTAAAGGTAACATGTTAACCAAATATTTCATATGTTTTAATATTTTCATTAACTAATATTTATAATTTTTAATTATAGATGATGATGAGATGGATCAGGAGTTTCATGTGCCATTAACTAATGTGAGGATTGTGGAATCAAGAGACTCCACTCACACCGCCATCAGTCCATCATGTTCGTGAAATCAACATTCAACATGAGCTAGCCAAGAATATTTTTAGTTGAAACAATGCCAAGTTATATACTTATATTTATATTATGTTTTTGTATTTGGAAAATTGTGTTTGTATTTGTGTTTGTGTTTTAGTGTTTATGACTTTATGTATTTGTTTTCTATATGCTTGTTGGTTTTAAATTGATGAGAAATTGATTTGGTTGTGAACTTTTTTGGTGAATTGAATTGAATATGAAGTATTTGATCTTGGGGGTGTAACTACAAAAAATTAAAATTGTATAAATTGTGGGGGTGTAACTGCAAAAATTGAAAATTGGAGAGAGAAAATATGGGTACTTACAGGTCGACTTGTACCTGTATAGGGTAGGGTACTGGTCCAATATTTTGGACTCATATAGAACCAGTCTGTTTTGGCCCGTACCCATTTTACCAGGCCCGTACCTACCTGACCCACCCGTTTTGCCAGGTCTACTAAAGATAACATTGAAAAATTGACTAGACATACTTTATAGTTCAAGTTTAATGAATCTTGATCAATTATACTTTATAGATTACCTGTGGGCAAAATCTGTAGTGCATAATAATCATTATACTTAACACTAAGACTAAATTATTACACAACAAAACAATGAAAATTTATTAAATAAAGAAAAAACTCCCACTATTTTATTGTTTCACATTTTATCTTATTCCAACATTGTTCATAAATACATAATCCCTATAAGGATAATGTTTATTTAAATGCACTAGTTGCAAATTTTAATGCTGACAAACACATACATATAACATTGCAATTTTAAGTATTATCAATGTTTTAATACTTGACCTAGTCAAAAGACCGAGTCCCAGTTAAATCGGTTAAACCGGTCCGACTGTCGGGTCGGATCGGTGACGTCATCACACTAATTCAAATTAGATTGAATATAATTTTGACGTCCGCAACACATTACACGATCCATTCCTCCTTTCTCTCCCTCTTTTTCTCTTTCTCACTCTACCGCTTTTTCTCTCTAGATTATAAACTAGCAAAGTTCCATTTTAATATTATTTCAGTTTCAAGCAAATCAAATTAAGGTTTATTGTTGTTGGTGTTATTCTTCTTCAACAAGATCTAGAGCTCATAAACTATGGCAAGAAACAATCTTGGCTGTTTATTTACATCAATCTCATCCAAACTCCCCTTACCATTCCCTATGTCTGAATCATCAATCTGTTCAAAGGTTTTGAACTCAGTGAGCCGACTCATCAACTTGTCAACTCAACAGTTTCAATAACACCAAGAGAAAACCCCCAATAAAGAAACAAGAGACCTTCAAAGAAAACTCTGAAAGTCAACACTTTTGGTAATTTTGATTGTTTAAAGTCTGTAGCTTTGACCCTTCTGGTGTTTTTCTCATTTGCTTCAATACCCATTATTTTTTGCAACTCGTTTCTGCTTCTGAATCATTAATGGAAGAATAAAGAATGAAGATTGAAGTTGAATTAGCTACTGGATTGAAAATATTATTATTAAGATGAACTTACAAGTGAGATTAAGATGAACTGATAAAGATGAAATGAAGAACTGATGATGAAATGAAACGCGATTCGCGAAGAGGGAAGATTGAAGATTAAAGAGCCGATTGAAAGTTGTAGTGACGATTAAAGAGCCGATCGAAAGTTGCAGTAAAGATTAAAGAGCTAAGGATGCTGAAGAGTTGAAGATCGACTAAATCTATGAGAAATGAAAGTGAAATGGGTTTGGGAATTATTGTAATGCATTGACCCAGTTTTGTGCCAAAACCGGGTGGACCGGTGGTTAGCTACAGTAACCCTGGTCCAACCACAGGCCATACCGGGTCAAATGCATATACCGGGTTTTATCCTTACTCGGCCCGGCTTAGTGGCCGATTCCCGATTGAACCAGTTAAATCAGCTAGGTCGGGCCAGGTTTTAAAACATTGAGTATTATAGTGAAAACGATGTCAAATTCCACATTTCTGTGGCAGGGAGGAAATTTACTCTGTTGGAGTGAAAGTGGGAATGAACAGTAATAATGTTCATCCCTAACCTTTGAACATAACCATTTTCAAAAATATCATAATGTCTCAAAACAATAAATCATCATAACTTTGCAATCCGAACTCTGATTTTAGCAAATCATATAGCGTTAGAAAACTATTTCAAAAATATCATAATATGTCCAAGTTTGCACCCCGAGGTAAAAGTAGTCCTAGACCAGGACAACCCTTCAACTATTTGAGTACCTTCATTACCGCATCTATATGGGATTGCTTTGGCTTGTGCATAAATTGACTGAGAATGTGTACAGCATGGCTGATATCTGGTTGTGTCGTGATGAGATAGATAAGTCGATCCATAAGTCTTTGATAATGTAAGGGATCCTTTAAGGGTAGATCTATCTCTGAATGTGACATCCCATTATCATATTCTTAAGTGGTGAGCTTAGAGTTTTGTTCAACAAGAATGACACTTGGTTTACGTGTTGATAACCCAGAATCTTATACGAGCTTTAAAACATATTTCTGTTGACTAAGAGATATCCCTATTAGAGATCTGGCAATTTCAATTCCCAATAAATTTTTGGCTCTCCTAAATCTTTTATATGGAAATACCTGTTGATGTGCTCTTTTAAAGTTCTGATTACTGTCTCATCATTTCCAGTGATAAGTATGTCATCGACATAAATAATGAGAGCAATGAAATATTTACCTTTATGCCAAGAAAAGAGCGCATAATCATGCTTGGATTAAACAAAATATATGCCTATAAGTGCTTTCATGAATTTAGCATTCTACTCTTGAGACACTAGTTTTAAACCTTAAAGGGATTTTCGCAGACGACATATTGTGTTCTACCCATTGTGGCAAAGTCATAGATAAAGGTCCATATAAATCTCTTCATGACGGTCACCATGAAGAAAGACAATGTGAATGTCCATTTGATGCAAGCACTAGTCTCTAACGGATGCAGCAGAAAGGAAAGCTTGAACAGTGACATGCTTGGCCATGGGAGAAAAGGTTTCTTGGTAATCAAAACCTTCATGCTGAGTAAAACCCTTAGCAACTAGTCGAGCTTTGTAGCATTCAATAAAACCATCAACACAGTGTTTGATTTTGTACACCTATTTACAGCCAATAGGTTTTCAGTGAGGAGGGTAAGGCACTAAATCGTAGGTATGATTATGAGTGAGAGCATTAAGTTCATCGACCATGACTTGGCACCAAGTGAAGTGTTGCACAACATCAGAGTAACATGAAGGTTCTTTGTCAATAGATATCTGACTAATAAAAATCTTATGGGCAGGAGAGGCGGTCAAAACTCATGTAATTTGAGGTTGGATAAGGAGTACTCGAGGAGGCTAAGATGGTTGGGCAAACATAATTAGTTGTCCAATTAGGTGGTCAAGTGACCCAAGAAGACCATTGTTGGGGAACCGGCTTTGGAGATAAAACAAGAGAGTTTGGAGGAGATACAGGTGATGTGTCACCAGAAGCAGAAGATTTTGCTAAAGGTGATTCAGGATGAGGATCAGCAGTGATCAGAGGATCATAAACTGTTGGTGGTGTACTAGTGTCAATAGCAGGGAGTATAATGAAATAAGGTGTTGGTGGAGATGTTGAGCAATCATCATCCAGCAATGTTGGCAAAGGCTGAGAAAAGGAAATTGAGTGTTCACCAATTTCTTCAAATGGACAGATGTTCTCATGAAATACAACATCTCGAGAAAAAAAAAAACTTCTTTGCAGTCGAATCATACAAACGATAACCTTTCTAGCACATAGGGTAACCCATAAAGATGCATTGAGTGGCTTGGGGACCAAATTTATCATGTGACCCAACAACAGTAGAGTAACAAAGGCAGCCAAAGACACGAAGATGGCTGATATCAGGTTGTTTCCCAAATAGCATGTCATAAGGAGTCTTGCCACTAAGCACTTGGGTTGGCATGCGATTGATCAAGTAAGTAGCTATGACCACACATTCACCCCAAAAACCTATAATGATATTGGCTTGTGTTCAAAGGTGTGGGCTACTTCTAATAGGTGACGGTGTTTTCTTTCGACTACCTATTCTATTGAGGAGTATATGTACAAGAACTCTCTTGCAGAATTCCAAGTGACAAATAAGGAGGAACAGTGTGAATTAAAGAAATCTTGAGCATTATCAATTCAAACATGTTGAACTGATGTGTGAAATTGAGTCTTGACTATAGAGAGGAGATTGAGTATATGTACAGGAACTTTCATGGAGAATTCCAAGCGAAATTAATAAGGAGGAACAATGGGAATTAAAAAAATCTCGAGCATTATCAGTTTGGACAGGTTGAATTGATGTGTGAAATTGAGTCATGACCATGGAAATGAAATACCTTATATGGGTAAGTGTTTGGGCTTTGGATTACATGAGAAAGACCCATGTCCCACGAGAGTAATCATCAACAGTGGTAAGGAAAAATCTAGACATGTCAAGATGAATTAAGGCAAATGGATGTGTACTAATAGATGTGCTAGTTGAAAAAGTGGTATGGGATTGTTTTGCAAGGGGACAATGTTGAGGTTGAGGAGTAGAAGCGCTAAGGCCCAATCTCTAATGAAAAAGAAAGGAATTTTTACTAATGTTTGTATTACGATGGGAGTTTTTATTAATATCTGTAATACAAGAGGGTGATCTTTGAAAATCTTCATCAGTGTTGGTCTAATAGTACAGACCATGATGGACCTTACCCAAGCCCATCAGTTTCTCAGTTGAAGGGTCTTCAGATTCACACATAGTAGGAAGGAATTTTAAAAGACAATTGTTGTCTGTGCAAATTTTTGACACAAAAATAAGATTAAACGGGAAATCGAGGACAAAAAGGACATTCCTAAGTACTAAGTATTTTGTGAGTTGGACGGTTCCTATGTGAGTGGCTGGTGCTAGGGGTGAGCGGTTCCGGGTACCCTGCATTTTTCGGGGGAACCAGAACCAGAACCGCACAATACAGGTTCCCAAAAAAAGGAATCGGAACTGGAACCGCACAGTGCAGGTTCTTAAATTCAAGGAACCAGAACCTAAAATGCAGGTTCCGGTTCCTTTCCCGGGTACCCTGTAAAAAATCAATTACCCCCCTTTTAGTTTAAAAAATGACAAAAATACCTTAAAAGTTTACAAATACACCGCTAACAAATTTTGATGACTCATTCATTTATGTCCAATGTAACTCATAAATCCTCTAATCTCTAGGCAACACTTGAATTCAATCAATTCGCATAAAATTTCTCAATCAAAACCAAGACACAAACAATTATTCATCTGTAAATTGTTAATTTAATGTTATAAATTGTTAATGTTTATAATGTAATATAATAATATTGTAATTAATTAAGTAATTATTTAATTATAATGTAATGTTATAATTAATTAAGTAATCATATTATACATGTATAATATAATGTTATAATTAATTAAATTTCTAATTATTTAATTAAATATTGTACTAATGTTTATAATGTAATGTTATAATTAATTAAGTAATCATACTATAAATTTATAATGTAATGTTACAATTAATTAGATTTTTTAACCATTTAATTAAGTAATGTACTAATGACTAATGTTTTAAATTAATAATGTTAATAATGTAATGTTATAAATTTATAATTAATTAAGTAATCATTTAACTATGCAATGCTATAATTAATTAAGTGATCATAATATAATGTAATGTAATAATTAATTACGTAATAATTTAATTAAATAATCATTTGTTTATAATGTAATGTTACAATTAATTAAGTAATCGTGCTATAAATTTATAATGTAATGTTATAATTAATTAAATTTCTAATCATTTAATTAAGTATTGTGCTAATATCTAATGTTTATAATATAATGTCATAATCAATTAAGTAATTATTTAATTATATAATGATATAATTAATTATGTGATCATACTATAATGTAACGTTATGATGAATTAAATAATCATACTATAAATCTATAATTTAATATCGTAATTAATTAAATTTCTAATCATTTAATTAATATACTAATGTTTATAATTGAATGTTATAATTGATTAAGTAATCATACTATAAATCTATAATGGAATGTTATAAGTGATTAAGTAATCATACTATAACTCTATATTCTAATGTTATAATTAATTAAATTTTTAATCATTTAATTAAGTAAGGTAATAATGTAGTAAATTACTAATGTTTATAATATAATGTTATAAATTTATAACTAATTAAGTACTCATTTAACTATGTAATGTTATAATTAATTAAGTTATCATAATATAATGTAATATAATAATGTTATAATTTAATTAAGTAATTGTTTAACTATAATATAATACTTAATTAATTAAATTTCTAGTCATTTAATTAAGTAATCATTTGTTTATAATGTAATGTTATAATTAATGTTTATAATATAATGTCATAATCAATTAAATAATCATGTAATTATGTAATATTATAATTAATTATGTAATCATACTATAAATCTTTAATTTAATATTATAATTAATTTGTTTATAATTGAATGTTATAATTAATTAAGTAATCATTTAATTATAATATAATGTTACAATTAATTAAGTAATCGTACTATAAATTTATAATGTAATGTTATAATTAATTAAATTTCTAATCATTTAATTAAGTATTGTGCTAATGTTTATGTAGTAAATTAGTAATTACTAATGTTTATAATATAATGTCATAATCAATTAAGTAATTATTTAATTATGTAATGTTATAATTAATTATGTGATCATACTATAATGTAATGTTATAGTGAATTAAGTAATTATACTATAAATCTTTAATGTAATATTATAATTAATTAAATTTTTAATTATTTAATTAAGTATTGTACTAATGTTTGTAATGAAATGTTATAATTAATTAAGTAATTAACTAATTATACTATAAATCTATAATGTAATGCTATAATTAATTAAATTTCTAATTATTTAATTAAGTAATATACTAAATGTTATAAGTTATTTAATTAAGTAGTAATCAATTAATGTAATGCTATAATTAATTATACTATAAATCAATTAAGTAATGTTATAAAATTATAATTAATTAAGTAATCATTTAACTATAATGTAATGTTATAATTGATTAAGTATGATATTTAACTAGTAATTAAATTTATTAATGTTTATCAATTTATCATATATAATTAATTAATTACTAATTTATTATAGATATACTTAGAACTTGATAATTGAAGTAAATAACTAAATATATTATTACTCAATCAAATATACTATTTTATTCAAAAATAATTCTTTTAATAACATTAAAAATTTAAAACACTTTTAATTGGATCATAATTCCAATTATTCACTTAATTAATCAAAACTTTAATATTAATATATTATAATATATTAAAGTTTTTAATATGGTGTAATTTATATGTAATAAGTATAATTGTATATTTATTTAATTAGGTTATTCTAAAAATTTAACTTTTTCTATTTTAAATTTTTTTATATGTAAAATAATAGAAACCCCCCATTATTCTTTATTTATATTTCACAAATATTTCATATTTTCATTGCAGTCCAGGTTCCAAAACAGGTTCCAAACAGGTTCCAAAAATCAGTTCTTTTTTCAGGTTCCGGTTTCGGTTCCTCCACACATAAGAATCGGAACCACACAGTGTCGGTTCCAATAAAATGAAACCAGAACCTACCCGCACAATGTTGGTTCCGGGTAGGTTCCGATTCTACCCCCAGGTTCCGGTTCTACGCGCTACCCATGCTCACCCCTAGCTGGTGCAATGTTTCCATTTGGCATATGGACGGAGGTAAATGATTTAGTGGATGGGTAACTATGGGAAAAATATTTTGGATTGCAAATATTGTTGTCACTAGCCCTTGAATTAATAATCCAGATATCATTTTTAAAAAAATTCAGAGAGAAAGATATACCTGCATAGGATGTCGTATTTGTCTGAGGAAACCGAGTCAACATCTGAACTAATAGATTGTATTGTTCTATGTTGATCAGGGGTGCTAAAATTTCATTCTCGGTGGTGGCAAATTGATAAACCGAAGGATTTTTATCTTTGTTTATCATATTGGGACACCCATATAATTTCCAACAGGTGTCCCGGATATGATTTCTCCATTTGAAGTAGTCACAAAATAATTTCCCTTTACCATTTTTCGACCCTAGACCTATTTGACTAGAGGCGTGACATGGCGTCATAGGAGCTGGTGGATTATTGCAAGAGAGAGATGGCCTTTTGGCCGCCAGATTACTTAGACACATTGTGCTGTTCATGGCCCTATATAAAAGAAACTCCTTTTGTGTGTTGATATTCTTGTCAAATTGATCCATTCTAAAAGATGAGTTCAATTTAAAAACCTAACTCTTACACCCGAGTGCCAATGTGGTTTTGTAGGAACTCAGCAAAACTTAAGGCTAGATTGGGTGGAACAACTCAATAACCCATGATAGTAGTAAGTGTTGAAAATGATTTAATATGCACCAAGAAAATTCCCAGGAAAAACTAGAGGGGTCACAAACGATCCCACTTAAAACCCAATCTCCTTAGACTTTTATCGCATTTTTGACAGAATTTTCCTAGACATGCATATAATCATATAACTAGCTGCTGACTGTCCTAATCTTAGGCTAGAGTAGGTTGGTAGAGCTTGGAGACTAGAGAAAGTTTGGTCATACGAGTCCTCTAATACCATGTTAGAGTTTGAATGGAAAGGCAAGAGATGCGCAAACTGCTACACAAGTATGCCAAAGAAGAGAATGAGAACATAATTGTTTATGTATATTTTGTTGTGTGTTGTATACATTTATAGACTCATATTATACAAAAAATTGTAGACAAAAAAAGGAATCACAATAATGTAATTATAGCCAATCAGGGAGTTTATTGATTTAGTGAT